CATCACTCATTTTATATCCATCTAATGTTATCCAATACCATCATTACATGAACTCAAATTAATAATGAAACAGTTAACCAAATAAAAATAAAAATACAGCGAAAAAATACTTTAACAAATTTCAATTACCCAAAAAACCAATAGAATTGCAGGGAAATTCTATTATGTGCGCTCCCATTCTGGAAACCCTTATCATCTACACAACTTCCAAGATCTACACCTCCATTTCTTTAACACCCTCATCTCTAATTAGAGTTAAGGGTTCCCCAATTTCATGAATATCCAGAAAGACATCTATGTCTATACAACCTGCATACACCTGAAACATCTAAAGTGCATCTAAATCTTCCTCTATCATCCTCTTTTCATTGGGTCAGAAGATAGATCTAGGAAATTATACCTACCAGTGTCTATAATACTAATGCCATGTGACCATGGCAGTGAACCAACAGAGTATGAAGAAACTCCATTTCTTAATTACTATGTCTTTCAATTTTCTTTAACTGTATTTCACTCTTTTTTTTTTTTTTTTTTGGTTCTTTTTTAAAGAAATGATAAGACGGTTCTTACACTCATTCATTGTTCCTTCCATGATGGGCTCCACACACTTATATACATACACACACACACACACACACACACACATATATATATATATATCCTTTATTAACTCTTGATGGATATATGTTCTTTTTTTTCTATTTTTTTTATTTTTTTTTATTTTTTTGTGTACATTTAAGCAGTTACATGGATAAGTCTTGGATTCATCATCACACTAGGGGAAGTGTAAAGTATTTTGATGGCATACATGACTTCATTGATGTGGCTAGGCGTCATGCAGAAGTAGACGGTAGGTCCCGATGTCCATGTCGTCGTTGCAAAAATAGGACTTATCATCAAATTGAAGAAGTTAAGCAGCATCTCTTGAGAAATGGGATGGACAAGGGGTATACCAATTGGATATATCACGGGGAGGCTCGTCAAAGCAACAATAATGTTAATATTGATGCTAATGTCAGTAGGGAAAATGTCCACGATGAAGATGGAAATGTAGATAATGTGTTTGAATTGTTGGATAACATACAAATGGGAAACTTCACTAATGCACCACAACAAGAAGATTCGCCTGAAGTTGATGTTGGAGGAGGAAGCTTTGATAGATTGTTAAATGATGCACAATGTGAATTGTGGCCAGGTTGTGAAAAATACTCTAAGTTGTCAGCGATATTAAAGTTGTTCCATGTGAAGGTTACAAGCCGAATGAGCAACAAATCATTTGACATGATGCTTGATGCATTTAAGGATATGCTTCCCGATAATAATGTGTTACCAAAGTCTCATTACGAGACTAAAAGCTTGTTACGAGACTTGGGTCTCGGATATGATTGTATACATGCATGTAAACATGATTGTGTTCTATTTTGGAGGGAAAACGCAAGTAAAGAAAATTGTCCACAATGTGGTGAATCGAGGTATAAACCTCACGAAGGTAAGGGTAAGAAAATCCCTCAAAAGGTTCTCCGGCACTTCCCATTGAAATCAAGACTTCAACGGTTGTTTATGTCAAAGGATACAGCCTTAGATATGCGGTGGCATAAGGAGAAACGTGTGAAGGAGACAAATGAGTTAAGACATCCAGCTGATTCAAAAGCTTGGGAAGATTTTGATAGTAAGCATAGTTGGTTTGCTGCTGATCCTCGTAATGTTCGTGTTGGATTAGCAACTGATGGATTCAATCCATTTGGAAATATGAGCAATGCGTATAGTATGTGGCCTGTGATGATTGTGCCTTACAATTTGCCACCTTGGATATGTATGAAGGAGCCATATATATTTATGTCGTTGCTTATTCCTGGTCCAACATCGCCTGGTAATGATATTGATGTGTACATGCAACCTTTGGTTGAAGAGTTAAAAGAATTGTGGCGGGATGGTGTGATGACATATGACGCGTACAGTAAATGTAACTTTAAAATGCATGCGGCAATGATTTGGACCATTAGTGATTTTCCCGCCTATGCGATGGTATCTGGATGGATGACAAAGGGTTATCTAGCATGTCCGATTTGTAACAAAGAAACATGTTCTTGTTTTTTGAAACACGGACGTAAGATATGCTACTTGGGAAGTCGTATGTTTTTATCGTTAGATCACATTTTCAGAAACCATCACAAGCAATTTAATGGCAAAAGTGAAGACAAAGGGCCACCAAAGCAGTTGACGGGTGATGATATTCTAGAACAACTTAACCTCATACCCGAGGTTAGTTTCGGAAAGGGGCCAAATAAAAAGAAGCGAACTCGTGAGGAATTTGAACTTAACTGGACGAAGAAGAGTATTTTCTTTGAACTACCTTACTGGAAGACCATTTTGTTGCGGCACAACCTGGATGTTATGCATATAGAGAAAAATATATGCGATAGTGTGTTGGGGACATTATTGGACATTGAAGGGAAAACTAAGGACACATTCAAAAGTCGGTTGGATTTAGAAGCAATGGGGATTAGAAAAGAACTCCACCTGAGACGTAATGGTGAAAAATTTGAGATGCCACAAGCGCGCTACACATTGTCAAAGAATAATAAAAGACAACTATGTGAATGGCTAAAATCAGTTAAGTTTCCAGATGGCTATGCATCGAACATAAGTCGGTGTGTGAATGTTAATAATTGTAAGATATCTGGATTGAAAAGTCATGATTCACACGTTCTCTTACAACGTCTCCTCCCTATTGCTATACGAGGATTCTTAAATTCAGATATTTGTAACACAATAGCTGAGCTTGGTTTATTCTTCAAGGAATTGTGTTGTCGAACTGTCAAAGTGGATGTGTTAGAGGCAATGGAAAGGGACATTGCTGTTATACTAAGTAAGTTAGAGATGATATTTCCTCCGTCATTTTTTGACATTATGGTGCACTTGGCTCTGCATTTGCCGCGTGAAGCCATCATCGCAGGCCCTGCACAATATCGATGGATGTACCCGATTGAAAGGTGCTGTATATTTTTAGTAAACCAACATTTTTTTTTAACAAGTTTTATTAGTTTGTTATTAAATATTATTGGTTTGATTAACGGTTATGTAGATTTTTGCATACTCTCAAATTGTACGTCCGCAACAAAGCACGTCCGGAAGGGTCCATTGCGGAAGCTTACGTGGACGATGAGTGCCTCACATTTTGTTCAAAATTTCTTGGAGGGATTGAGACAAGGTTCAATAGAGAAGAAAGAAATAGTGAGGGGAACTACAACAATAATTGGTCCACATTTTATGATCTAAAGCAAGTGGTTCGACCGATAGGAGCACAAAGTTTGGACATATTGCCCCGTGCGGACATAGAGATGGCCCGATTGTACGTTTTACAGAATTGTGAAGATGTTTTGTCATATGAAGAGTAAGTAACTCATTGCATGTCATATCTTGTCAGTTTCTATGAATATATAGTGTATTTCTTAATACATGTATACAATTGTATCATTAACATAATGTAATTGTTTAGAAAACACAAGGTAGAACTTGAGAGAGAAAATCCGCGCAATGTTTCTCAAAGACATGCTAAAGAATATTCGAGGTGGTTCGAAACAAAAGTAAGTCCATTATGCACCTATTGTACTTAATTAAATAAAATTCGTTAATTTAATTAAAATGAACTGTCATTCATTTATTTAACACTACACTTCTTTTAATAGATAAAGGAAATGCGTCATCATCAAAAGGAAACAACTTGTGATGATCTGTATTCATTAGCGTGTGGACCTCAATGTCTAGTAAGTCGATATTCCGCGTGTATTGTAAATGGGATTAGGTTCCATACTAAGGAAAGGGAGCAAAATCGACGAACACAGAATAGTGGCGTGTTAGTGAAAGGAGAAGACCAAGATTACTATGGTGCCCTAACAGATATCATTGAGTTAAGATATCCTCTGGGTAGAAAAATTTTTCTTTTCAAATGTGATTGGTTCGACGTTAGGATTGGTACCGGTGTACATAAAGATACCTATTTCACAAGTGTAAATGTAGCCAGTAGAGCGTACAAAAATCAGCCGTTTCTGTTAGCAAATCAAGCATTGCAATGCTTCTATGTCAAAGACAATAAATTACAAGGGACGTGGGAGGTAGTTCAAGATATAACAAGTAGAAGCTCGTTTGATGTACCTGAAAAAGAGGGTGAAACAGGAGTATATGATGAAATGCTCAACACTACAGCATACCAAGAGAGCGAACCAAGCATCGTGGATGGAGTTGTTGAAGCGGACTTGGACATGGATCCATTCCCTTTGAACAGGGACGATTTGGAGGGTGAAACTCTTGATGCTGAAATGATTCAAAAATGTAGGGGTGAAGCAGCCATTAATGATGACTTTTGGGATGTTGAGAATGATGAAGCTCTTGACATTCAATATAGTTCAGATGAGGAACCAGAATTAATGTCTGAAGATGATACTGATATGGATGACATGTGAAGCTTTTTATTCTTGAGCATGTACCTCATTTTATTGTTTTATGATTAATACTTTAAGTGACCAGCTGAATTATATTACCGAGCTTTATCTTTTGAGTTACTTTTTGTTTAAATTTCTCTTTAAGTATTGTTTATGTGCTTCATTAATTTGCAGCTTTGATTTGGTTAACTAAATTAATTGTTATATTTGAGCATTTACTTTTTTTTTTTGGGTTTATGATTATATTTAATGTGATCTATTCAGTTATATTGCCTCTAATTATTGAATTTTTTATTCAATGGAATTATGTAAATATGAAATGATGACTCAGAATATATTTTGCATATGCTTGTTTATTTTGATTTAATTTCACTTGATTCTTCATATCAGCTTGTAAACTAAATTATGGACACCTCCGAGGAACCGATGCGTAGAGTTTTAAGGTCCCGTAGGGCTGAAACTGAGCAACCATCTACAAGTTCACCTCCTACACAACCAAGTGGATTAGGTGAAGATAGGAATTCAACAAATGAAAGAATGGAAGGTGATGGTAGTAATGAGCAGACAGGGCCACAACCAAGTGGAGGTAATTATGCTTCATCATTGATTAACCATAAGTTCTTTTGTAAAATGCCTACGCTTTAATTAAGATGATAAATTTTTTTTTCAGGTCCGATACGAAAAGGGCGTGGAAGAGCAAAAAATGAAGCCTTGCACAAAATTAATGAAAACAATTGGCCAGTTCCAGTTGAGTTTGGAGAGGGTTATATTAAACCTGTTGGTTTAAATAACAAATTATGGACGGCTGAGGTTGGCATTAATACACGAGATACCGAAGCCCTTCTAAAGTATAAAACGTGGAGGGATGTTCCAGATTTTGAGAAAGAGGTCTGCTATGACCATTTGAAGGTAATGATAACCATCATTTAATGCTTGTTTTGGTTAAAAAAAAATCAGAGATTACTGGTCCAATTGGTTACAAATTATAGCTTACTTTAATTTTACATTATAAAGGAGGTCTTTGGAGTGGATGCATACGCAAATGACATTGATTTTAAGCGAGTAAATATGGGAATTTCCAGCGCATTGAGGAAATATAGATATAAATTGAAGTGTCATTTTGAAGAGCATCTTCCGATTGAGAATGCACGCCGCCATCCTTACAATGGTATTGGTAATGCTGTTTGGGAAAAATTGTGTGATACGTGGATGTCACCTAAATTTCAGGTTCAATTTCTTAACTACTTGTTTTTACTATTTAATATAATAACTTCATTCACTAGTTATTTAGGTTTCCTAACTTGTAATATTGTTTGAATTACTACTTAGGAAATAAGTGCAAAAAACAAAGAAAATCGTTCCAAGAATGAGGTTCCACATTATTCTGGATCAATGTCCTTCGTCAGACGTTACGATGATTATGTGCGTAATATACGAAACAATAATTATAAATTTTTTATTTTATATTCTACGTTCTAAACCATATATTTGTCTAATAGTCACTATTACTTTGTACTATAGGTCAAACTCAAAGAAAGGCAGAGCCAAGAAGATGGGGACGGTGAAAGGGAAGAGGATCCTGCTATTCGTTTGTACAAGGACACACATTTTAAGGAACAAGGTGGATGGGCACATGAGAAAGCTAAGAGGAATTTTGTAAGTTAACTATAAGCTACCATGTTAGATTATGAAATTTGGATCTCATAATATTGTCCACATATCGCAACTGATATAACACACTAGTATGTATTATTAATATTACTCGTGACTTTATCAAAATTATTTTATAGGATGAGATGAGTTTTATAGTGAACTAGGCTATGTAAATTTTAAATTTTAAATTTTAAATTTTTTTTTTTTTTGGGAACAAAATCATCAAATCACTGCTTCGTTTAGTTCTCTATTTTCTATGATTTCTTTTCCTTTTTAGATATTTTGCAATCAAACAAGACATGTTCTTCTTTAATTTATACCCTTTGATTTAGTTTAACTTTTATATCATTTTCTTTTCAGCTCTATAACTCATGGAAAAAATTTGAAGAGACTTCAGGGTGATTTTTTTGGAATTTTATGTTGAACGATTCAGAGTGATTTTTATTGAATTTTACATTGAACTGTAATTTGGTTTGTTTAGTTTGGTATAATAGAAAGAAAGGTTATATATGAAAAGTAAAATTTAATAGAAGAAGAAAGTACTGAATACTGATACTATTATTCATTAAACAAAAGGCCTTTATATAGGCAAATACACCAATAGATAAAAGTAAAAATTAAGGAAACAGATAAGCCACTAACAATAAAATTAATAGCATACTCCCACTACTGCATCAGTAGTGGAGCTCCTAAAGACTAGCTCAACTCCTAAAGACTAGCTCTCCTTTTTGCTTCATTTCCTAAAGACTAGGACAAAATAAACAAATTATGACTCACATGACAGCACAACAAACTCAGTTTTTCCAACATTCCCTCCCTTAAACTGAATGTTATGTCTGAAACATCAGTTTATTGGGTCACCTTCAAAGCACTCTCCCTCAATTTGAATCATTTGAAGTGCAGACATCAAGCAACTTTCTTAACTTCTAAAATGTAAGAAATTTGAGGGGCCTTGGTTAGTATATCAGTAACTTGGTCTTCACTCTTGCAGTAAGTGAGATCAATAATTCCATCATTCATGAGATCCCTTAAGAAGTGATACTTCACATCTATATGCTTGCTTCGTCCATGGAGAACAGAATTTTTAGAAAGTTTTATGGCTGAATTGCTATCACAATAGATTGTTGTTACTCCTTGTTGCTTGAAGTGTAACTCTTTAAGTATTTTCTTCAACCAAATAGCTTGACAGGCATATGAAGTTGCAGCAACGAATTCGGCTTTAGTGGTCGATAAAATGACAATGGGTTGCTTCTTTGATGACCATGAAACAACCCCTGAACCCAGCATAAAAGCATACCCCGAAGTGCTCTTTCTATCATCTTGATCTTCTGTATAATCACTATCAGCAAAGCCTATCAAATATGACTTTTCTCCCTTTCTGTAAAGTTTTCTAACAATAATTTCGACAGTAGTGAGCCTTAAATTTATTTAAATGTACAATATTTTTTTCTATTTGTTGATAAACAGCATGTAATACAAGAAATGCCATACAAGAAATGCCATTGTTTACTGTATGTGCGCATGTTATAAACCGAATCACTTTAATCTCTCTATTTTTATGTGCTGGTGCATGTGTGATTACATTTTCTGTTATTACTTGATTTATTCCTATGCCATATTTTTTTAATTTGATAGCGAACTTAAATATTTTGCAGGATGCAATGAAAGAAAAGGCTGCACAAAATTCTCAAAATTCTGATGGTACGAGTCCATCCATAAATGATGTTGAGATAGTACAAAACCAACTAGGCATAAGGAAGGGATATTGCCGTGGATTCGGACATGGTTTCGTGGCTCCAAAGCGTCAGCGTGCCTCTTCATCATATGATGAGGCTTCTAGGAAAAGGGCCGAAATTGCTGAAGAAAGAAGTGTACAAATGGCGGAAAAAATAGAAAAACTTGAGAAGATGCTTGAGCAGTACCAACAACAGCCGCCACCATGGTTCCTCCAATATCAGCAGCAGCAGCAGCAGCCGCCACCATGGTTCCTCCAATTCCAACAGCAGCAGCAGTCGCCACCATGGTTCCACCAACAACAGTCTCCATCAGATTCCCAACAGCAGCAAACCGCACCAAATTGGCATCAACAACCACCGCCACCTCCAGCAGACTCGTATTTTCAGCAGCCGCCACCAACAACAAGATGGCAATATCAGCTGCCGCCACCAACATGGTCTCACCAGCAAGCACCACCACAACCACCAACAGAATGAATAATGGATCTTGAAGAGGATGAAATAATTTTTTGTGCTACCACATGGTTTTAGTTTTTGTTTAGAAAACTAGAGATTTTATATTTTATGGATCTTGAATATATATATTGTGGATTGATTTTATTCTATGGATAGTAATATTTTTTTGAATGTTATTGTGGATCTATTTTGTATATGTTTTGTATGTATGTATCCGGAATGGTTAAATTCACAAATTAAGCATACAATATATATATATATATATAGACGGTTTAATATAATAATTATAATTAAAAATAATGTATTAGGGACGGTCCTGACCGTCCCTAATACAATAATATATTAAAATATATAATTAAAAATAATGTATTAGGGACGGTCCTGACCGTCCCTAATACATTAATATATTAAAATATATAATTAAAAATAATGTATTAGGGACGGTCCTGACTGTCCCTAATACAATAATATATTAAAATATACAATTAAAAATAATGTATTAGGGACGGTCTGACCGTCCCTAATACATTAATATATTAAAATATATAATTTAATTAATGTATTAGGGACGGTCTGACCGTCCCTAATACAATATATATTAAAATATATAATTAAAAATAATGTATTAGGGACGGTCCTGACCGTCCCTAATACATTAATATATTAAAATATATAATTCAAATAATGTATTAGGGACGGTCCTGACTGTCCCTAATACAATAATATATTAAAATATACAATTAAATTAATGTATTAGGGACGGTCTGACTGTCCCTAATACATTAATATATTAAAATATATAATTTAATTAATGTATTAGGGACGGTCTGACCGTCCCTAATACAATATATATTAAAATATATAATTAAAATAATATATTAGGGACGGTGTGGCCGTCCCTAATACAATATATATTAAAATATATAATTAAAAATAATGTATTAAGGACGGTCTGATCGTCCCTAATACAATAATATATTAAAATATATAATTAAAATAATCTATTAGGGACGGTCTGTCCGTCCCTAATACAATAATTATAATTGAAAAATTATGTATTAGGGACGGTCTGTCTGTCCCTAATACTCTAGTTTTTGGGGACAGTCATTTAAACTGTCCCTAATTCGTACCTTATTAGTGACAGTCTTGGCCGTCCCTAAAAAGTTTTAGGGACGGTGTTATTTGGGACAGGTTGGACTGTCCCTAAAGGTCAAAAGTATTAGGGACGGTCAACTTTGACCGTCCCTAAAGCTCTTTTGGCACGCAACTTTTAGTGACGGTCCAAACTGACTTTTAGGGACGGATTTGGTACTTTTAGGGACAGTTTCGACTGTCCCTAAAACCCGAATTTCTTGTAGTGGTTATTCACAATGCAGCTGTTAACACTTAGTGTGAGGACCTCCATTGCAATTACAAACAACATGGGTGAAAGGGGGTCACCTTGTCTTATACCCCTTTTCCCTTTGAAAAACCTAAATAACTCACCATTGAGTGAGATAGAATATGAAGGTGTGGAAATACACTGAGCTATCCAGTGTATGAAAATAGGTGGAAAACCAAACAATTGCATGGTATCAAGAATGAACTGTCAATGAATTAAATCAAAAGCCTTTCTAAGATCAATTTTGAGTGCACAATTTGGGGGATGATTGGCTTTATGATATCCATTCATTAGTTCATGTGCTAATATAATATTATCAGAGATATGCCTACCTTTTATAAATGCTGTTTGAGATGGACTTATAAGGATTGGAAGAATTAGTCCAAGTTTACAAGCAATGAGTTAAGAAATGGTCTTGTAAATAATGTTATAGCATGAATAGGTCTAAAATCATTGACTGAGGAAGGGTTTGGTGTTTTGGGTACCAAAGCTATGTAAGAACAATTTACCTCAATCAGCATCCTTCCTGAAATGAAGAAGTCCCTTACAGTAGTTATAACATCTTGCCCAAAAATTGGCCAAGCATGCTTGAAAAAACAAGAGTTAAAACCATCTGGTCCAGGACTCTTGTATGGGTGGAATGAAAGGATGCAAGACTGAATTTCTAAGTCTGTGGGGATAGCTGTGAGAGAGTAGAGAAGGTGAGGTGGAACAAACTTAGAAATGAGAGTAGAGAAAGAGTTCATACGTGGATAACTGCAACTGCTCTGACCAAGGATGGATTGGAAATGTATAAGGAGGTCCCTTTGAAGTTCTTTCCCTTTGATTTGATCCCCATCTACATCAGT